CCGCATCGTCTCCCCACTTGTGCCGGGTGAGCCCTTGCCGCCGCACGCCGTGGCCAGGACCGGAGATGGCTGGGGAAAGCCAGCACGAGGGGCCCCCGCCGTGCTCCACCTTCCTTCTCCAGCTTGAGATGGCACCGGTCGCCATCAGCCGGGGACCCGACTGTCCCCCAGGTGCCATCCCTCGGCAGGACACATTGCGAGGGTCCCTCCACCGCGCGCCAACGCGGCGGGACCCACCTTGCCAATGACGTCGTTGCGGCTCAGCCTGTCCTTGTCCATGACGGTGATGACGATGGTCGTCTCACGCAGCCGCTCTGTGGGGATGTCGAAGGCGAAGGACTCGTTGAAGACGGGGTTCAGGCACCGCTTCATGACCACTGTCTTCTTCTTCTCCACCCGCTTGTCCTTGTACATCAGCCACACCTTCACGTAGGGGTCTGGGGGGGAGAGGAGCCGCTTTTAGCCCTGGCCGGGCGTTGGGCAGCGATGCCCGGCGTGGCAGGAGCTGGAGCTCGTACCTGACGTGCCTCCGATGTCCATGGCTTTGAGGTTACGCGCTTTGATGATGTTCACCACAATGGAGTTGGCAGAGGGGTTGTAGCACAGCGACAGCAGCAGCTCCCCGCGGCTTCCCTGCGGAGCCCGCGGAAGCCCTTATGTGAGTGCCCCGAAAACACCCGCTCCTCGCCGCGGCACCCAGCCCAAGCCCTGATGGGGCACCCAAAGCCCCCGTGTCCCGCCGTGGGAGTGGGCTGCTGGGCTGGGACCCCCCAGAGCTGTCCCAGGGGTGGACTTTGGGGACGCACAGAAAATCAGGACAGGAGGAAACGGGGCCATCCCCAGTGGGACATTTTCTGGTCTTGCTGGAGGCAGGAGAAAAAGAAAACTTTCATTTTAGATCTACCTAAAACAGCTCCTTTTGACCCAAAATGAGACACTCGCTTTGGGCTACTTAGTGCCTTAATTTATAGATAAAGATTTGGGAAGAGAAACCTCCCCATTGGACGTTGAACCTTGTCGCAGAGCAGAAAACGTCCCTGTTGGGGTAGTAAGAGGGTGGTGGTCCTGTTGGGACACACCACAGGGACAGGGGGTAGCCTCCCCTCAAGGGCTGTCCCCAGGGGGTAGGAGGGGGACCAGGGCCTTACGCTGCCGTCGCTGCACGGCTTCAGGTCCTTCCAGAAGGTCTGCATCTGGGTGAGGTCCACCTTGTTGAGGGGGATGGACACCTCCCCGATGGGGTCGTTGCGGCTGAAGCGGTCGTAGTCCAGGACCTGGAGGTACAGCACCCGCTGCACCACCTTCTCGTAGGGGAACCCTGTGCCAGAGACAGAGGGGATGAGGAGCTGCTGCGGCCATGCCAAGCAGCACCCGGTGCTGGTGCCGGTGCCACCCTGACTCGCCCGTGCTGACGGGGAGATGTTGGCACCAGGCAGTGGATGGGGAGCAGATGACAGCATGGGGCACCTCTCGTGGCTTCGGGCCACCGCGATGGCTGGCAGCAGATTAATTCCCCTGTGTGCACCCACCCATGGGTGCCTGCTGGGGGGAGAAGGAGCCTCCCCCCATGTCCCCTTCATGAGGTGCAGAGCAAACACCTCCAACCTGGTGTTGATGGCTTGGCCAACCCCTCTCATCACCAATGGCCACCACGTTGGTAGCTCAAGCTGAGCTGGTCCAGCCCAGGAGGGAGGACAGAGGGTCCCACAACTGCTCCGCTCCCACCCCAGTCCGTCCCAGCCCCTACCTTCGAAGAGGAAGGTCTCGTTCCAGTGTGGGTTGAGGTTCTTCCGCTTCACCTTGGTCTCCAGCTTGTGCTTCTTGTCGGGGAGCAGGTAGATCTTGACAAAGGGGTCGCTGGTGCCGCTGAAGTCCTTGGCTGGCAGCTCCTGCGCCTTCATGATCTTGACGGTCAGGGTGGACTCCTGGAAGTTGTAGCCGACGCTGAACTGGATGCGGCCCAGGTTCTCCCGGCTGATGCCATCGTGGCCCTCGTCATCCTCGGAGCCTGGGGAGAGCTGCGGCGGGGGGAGAAGGGAGGTGAGCGCAGCACCAGGGGGCCGGCGGGGGACCACCAGCGGGGTCTGCACACCCCCCGCCCTCCATTTCAGCTCCCGAACTCGGTTCACACCAGCACCCGACCCCCAGCCCCGCGAGCTGTCAGAAGGCATCAGCCTCTCCCCGGCCCCCTGCCACCGCCGTCGCCTGAGATGACTCCTGGCTCGGCGCCACGCATCCCGAGAACGGGAAGTGCCAATTAGCCAAATTCCTCCTGACAGCCCGTCCCTCACATCTCCGGCACCGCTCCCTCGCGCCGGCCTGGGGGGGACAGATGCGTCGCCTCGGCTGAGCCGGGGCTGTGCCAGCCGCGGCGCCCGGCTGTGACAGGGACTTGGCTGAGCGGGCTGGGACGTGCCAGGGTGCTTGTGGCCCAGGGCGAGCGTGGGGAAGGGCTGGGGTGGGGGGAGAGGGCGCGAGGAGACGCCCGGGCGGTGCCCAGGGTGGGATGCCGTCCCTGGGGAGCCTGTCTCCGGCGTACCCCATCCACCCACCATGAGCATCTCACTGGTCAGGGAGTTGACCAGGTCGGAGACAGAGGAGCGCGGCTCCGTCTTGCGGTCGGACTCGTCGTGCGGTGGCTGCCCCCCTTGGCGACGTCCACGGCCTTGCCGCCGGCCGGCAACCTGGGGAAAGAGAGGCAGCGCCTTAGAGGAGAGGGGCCGAGAGCCGAGGGCGAGACAGCGAGGGGCTCCCCCGGACCCCCTCTCCTGGCGGATGCTGCGCCTGGGCCGTGCCAGCCCTCGATGGAGGCTGCCAGCTGGGATGCGGGCAGAGCCGGGCTGCAGGGACGCCCGGGGCTGTGCCACCGGCGGCTGCGTGCCACCCGCTGCAGCCCCCCAGCCTCCCCGCACAGAGGGGCCCCGGCC